AAGAAAAGGTACAACAAGTAAGTAACGTTTTTATTTTTTTCCCCCCAGGCAGTGATTCAAATAAACAGAACAGACAGCAGTTTATATCTCATAAATATTTTGATTCCACACTAAGGGCTGCAGGTTTCTCCTGTAAGCCGAGCATTACAGCCTTGTTAGTCTAAAAAAAATCTTGCGTACTGCAGGTTTACATTCTATAAAAAAATTAATTTGAAAGTCAAAGTTGCATACTTGAGCTTCCTGGTTTTTGAGAGCTCAGTTTAGTAGGCTATGACTTTATTATTAAAAGAAAGTGGGAAAGAGTTCTATGGCAGCCCACAGCAGTACTGACAGATTCCACCTACCATCGTCTCTGTGCGCATGTGTTGTACCCTCACTTTCTACACTCATGTTCTCAGCCACATGTTTCCTGTTAAGATGATCCATCTTTGGTCTGTCGGATGTCGGCTACACTCTCTGGAACCCTGGCTACCATTCCCTCCAGAGACTTCGTCAAGCAGATCTGGCAACCCAGACGAGATCTGCAAAGGGGAGGGGAGATGAGAAGCATGTTAAATTCAAGTCTGATGAAGGATGCTTCTCATTTTTAGACAGCCATGAATGTGCCATTTGCTTTGAAACTGAAAGCTGCTTTAACAACAGTGTCCAACATTGTTTGCAAATAAAGCTGATATCCCAAGTGAAAGAAAGCTCTCATGTTTAGTCCTTTGTCTCTCAATGATTAACTGATCAGCCCTGACAAATCTTATTATGCCACCAGAACTGATTCTTCTGCATCAGCCAGGCTGTAGGACTACTGTGATAAAAGCTTCAGCCTCTAATCATTTATCCAATCACTTGCCTTCAATTAACACAAAAAGACAAAGAATGAATCACACAAAAGCTGACATAGCCAAGATCCACGTTCTCCAAACACTATTTAAAACATGGCCTTGCAGTTATATAAGCAGAGTGTCGATAAACTATCACATCAATTAAAATCAGTGTAATGACAGTTTAGCACAGTGGCCTTGTGAGTGTTCACGTGTGCTTCCTTACGTGTCAGTCAGGCCGTAGGCTAAGTCTAGCATGTCCATTTCCTCGTCTGTGATGGGCCCCAGCTTCTTATACATCTCCTCATCAAAGATCAGATGGCATGTGGAGCACGCCAGTGTTCCCTCGCACGCTCCTACAACACACACACACCTTTAGAACTCCACACAATGGATGAGAAGTAGCTCACGCACATACATGCAGCTCTCTGATAAGTCCAGGCCTGTGAAACTCGCTCTGTGCGTACCAAAACCATCAAAGTCGAGGTCTTCGTTGATGACAACGTCTAGCAGAGAATCTCCAGGCAATCCCTTCACTGTGATCTTCTCCCCGTCTCGGTTGATGAAGTTGATCGTCACCTTGTTGTCTGATCTGAGACAAAAAAAACATGACCTTAGTTTGATTGACGGGAACACTGGAACCCAACTGTTGGACTGATAAACTTACAGGTTTTACGTATGACATAATTACTAAGTTTGGACCCTTATGTTATCCAGTTTTCCCTACATAGCACTGCACAGTCCAACTGCCAGAGGTCACTGCCCTCTGGTGGCCACTACTGATAGTTACATTCAAGTCAAAAGATGCCTCAGTGCCCTAAAGAGAACATCTACTGTTCCTTATTTTCTGTCATATACTGTTACTGTGGTGGAGACTCATTATGACCAACAGCTACAGATAATGAGATCCCTAAAATTTCATCTCATGTACACTGCATCATACAAGCTCCGCCCACCTGCATCCTAAAGAATAAGAGTAAAGAAACACACACAAAGAGATCATGAACTTGTTTAACCATCCATCCTTCTCTGGTTATCATTTTCAGGGTTGCAGGGGCTATCCCATGATATCCAATATTTAACTACATTTACAGCATAAGGCCACAATGAAGGAACAGCAGGGACCTAAAAATAACGCGTACAAATGAATTTTCCTGTCTATCACTCTAAGAGAAAACTACAGCACAAACTTTGCCAAGTTGCAAGTTTTAGTCTAAAAACTGATACCGGATGCCAACACTGAGGTCAACCTATTATGCTAATTTCTAAACTTATAATTTCATTATTCGATAATGAGTAAATAATCATTTACATTATACTGGTCCATAGTGAAGCTCATTAAGTCATCCTGAAATAAGCTTGTCTAGCTCTCTTTAACCACCTTTCTTCTGCATGGTGGGGGGTATATGTGTGCTGTGCACTGAAGACTTGTGTGCATGAAATCAGCACTTTTATTCTCTGCTATTTACAATCAATTCCATTTTATTTATATATCACCAAAACACAGCAACAGTCTCCTCAAGGTTATATAGTAAAGACCCTAAAATAATACAGAAAACCCCAACAATCAGACGACCCCCTATGAGCAAGCAGTTGGTGACAGTAGGAAGTAGGAGGCTGAGGGAGGGCGGCCATCTGCTGCAACCAATCTAATTACAGTTCTGTGTAAAAGTCTAAAGCTACCCTCCATGTTTATTTTATTTTGCTTCCAAGGAGCCAGACTTGTCATTTTCACAGCAGTTCTTCAGATTTTCTGAAGGTCTTTCAAAGTTTGCTTTGGCTGCTCTCTCACTCATTTTCAGTCCAGACCTTGTAACTGACACAGGACCTGATAGATGGACCTTCATCCATCTACTGTCCAATGAAGCCTCATCACAAAAGCTCTCAGTGTAAATGTGGCTGTCACAAAGAAGCCGTTCTTAAGGAAGAGACAGGGAGAAAAGACTGGGGTACTTCAAGTTACACAAGAACCTGAGTGAAAAATCAATAAATCAGTACACCCATTTCTCATATTCCTACAATTTTTTTAAATGACAGATAGCTTAATGCTTTTATTTTGTTGCAATTAAATTCCCAACATCATACCAATTTCTCCCTTCATGCTTCTCTTCGGGAGGTGAAGTGTGGGTTAATTTAGGTTAAGATCTGGTTAAAGTCCTCTCTTAATAAAGGACTTCTCCAGATTAGCTCTCTGTAAACTGGCAAACAATAACTTTTTGTAGACTTCTGCTCGTTCTGCAAATTCCATTCAGGCTTTCAGATTTTTACAGCTGATGAGTGCAAATTGCAGTATGACCTCTCGCTGTTCTCCAAGCCTTATTGTTGCCATCCTTGGACAAGCCAATCCATGTAATACATGTAGCTCAGTGCAAGAGGTTTCATTCCTTTTCAGGATGTTCTGTACTGACAGTGGCTGTGCCCAGTGTGTCTGAAAATCCTGTGATGGCCTTTCCTGCTTTTAAATGGCCCTGCTGTTTTGACACTTTTGAGGATGGATGGATGGATATGGCACAAATATATAAAATGCAATCGATCGCTTTACTTTCTAAAATTTCCCATTTATAAGTCCTTTATGGTCTGAGATTTCAAGGAAAGTGCATGTCAGGTTACGATGTAGTTTCAGAGGGGTTTGGGGTAATGACGTACCTACGACATAGATTTAACGCACAAGCCCCCTATAATCCGCTTTAAAAACAAAACCTTGTTCATGCTCTTTCCTGAAAGGGCCCTGCACTGCACGACCTCTCAGGACAAACACACTCGCACTTGGCATCAATCACGTTAAACTGGTTAGTTAAGGGAGGGCGACGTGAGGACACAAGGACAGTGTCAGTCAGTTTAAGGCAAGCCTGGAGAAAAAACAAAACAAACCTTCAACCTAAGCACAAGGTCAACAGTCATGGTGCGCTCCAACAGGGTGGCTGGCACTGGGAAGCCCAGCTGTGGTCAGAGCCTTGTACCTGAGTGGGAAGATGGCTCACTTTCACCTTGGGGACACGTGAGGCTTCAGCCTGCTCCTAAGAACATCAGCTGCACATGTGTGGTGTTCTTAATCACTTTGACTTCAAGCACCACTTTTTCTAGGAACTAAATTAAGACTCATCTTGCCTCATCAACCCAATTACACACTCACATATATTTTACTACACATGTCGCCCCTCAGTGTTTCAACACATATTGGAATATTGGCACATTTAAGTTGCAAATTAGTTCTCCTGAGACCTAAAAGCACGTAGACTTTCCTGTCCTTTGCTTTCTCCCCGCTTGTCCATTTAAACTGACTTAAAGTAAATGGCCCACCGCTAGGTTGGAATTTAAGTGTTTCTGCTTTGTCGTTTTGAAAAACAACATGAGCCTAGTTTCAAATGTTTTGAAACAGCACGACACAAAACACCCTGCTCTGTGAAAGGGACATTCTTTTCTACATGCCAGGAATGCGCTGGAAAGAAGAGCCCCAATAAATTGCACATTTTTTGACTGGAGTTTGGCGTGCGGCTCAATCCATCACCAGGTTAGGCAGTCCTGTTAATAGTAGGTGTTTTAGTAAAATAACCTACCTGAGAGGCTGAGTGCCGATAGAAAAACTCCTTTGTTTCGTAGGCCAGGTTACTGCCGACGCCTTCCTCGAATATTCACGTAGACTATTCTGAACCAGCCGTCTTAACGTTGTTACCAAAGCCATTTGAAGCACAAAAATGAAGCTGGAAAACTAGCGGAGAGGATTTACAGACACCTGTCGAGCGCGTAACTTCTCAGCAGAGACCTAAAGAAGTTTGACTGAACCGATCGAGCAGGCTAGTGGGGCTAGCTTGTTTTAGCTGCAAAAAGTCACTCTGTCACTGTCATTGCATAACGTGAAACATATGGCAACTGCTTGTTGTCTAAGACCCCAAATCAATCACCTGACAACGCAGTGGAGCACCAATGATACTCCACAACAAAACACAAAGTTGACAGATAACTATCAACACCGCCCAGGGTTATGCAGTCAAATCGCAAACATGACTCCCTGTGTGTAGTTCCTGACAAACAAAGATCAATCAGGCGCAGTACAACTTCCTGCCATGTCTTCAAAATAAGAGTTTTAGCTACTAACATATTGTGTCCATCTATGGATAATAATTTGATACCCACAGTTTAAAATAAAATAAGACCGTTATCCTAGTGGGAGTTAATAAAAAACAAACGTCTCGGCTTCCCTTCATGATTAGAAATGTATTATTTTGCTTTTAGTTTGAAAGTCATTGACGCTAACTTGATTCCGGTAAGAACAAACGTCCCCGTGCCCGCTTACGTGAGTGTGTAAACTAGCCAATCAAACTGTACTAACGCTCGTTTTAAATTACCGCGTCAGCCGGTAGTGCGGAGTTAGCACGTCTCCGAGTGGAAGGCTGCTTACGGAGTCACCGCCCCGCCGTGTGTGTGAGTATAGACATCTAGAAAGTTCAGTGTGTTTCCTAATAAAGGTCAAATCCTTCACGCGTTACTCTGACCAGCAAAGAAGCGCAGTGATGTCAAAAATGACCTTGAACTTTTGAACTGTTTTTTAAATCATCTTTTAAGCACCACGAGTTCACGAGAGATATTAAATCTGAGGCATTTCAGAAGAATCAAGTTAGAAGTTACTCGCTTTTTAATCATTGCTAATAAAAAGTGAATATTAACCACCATCTACACCCCATGTCCTGATGGCTACAGGGTTACAAAGTTGAACAAGCGCTCTACACCAACATCAAAGGTCTGTGAAATACCTCAGTCACCCCCAAAACAACCTTTAGTGGCCTCCAGCGTCACGTTTACCATCTGTTGTAACGTCTCTCTCTGTCCACATTCACAAATATTGATTGAGCTCCCTTGATTAAACCAAGTGCTATTCACCCTTCACATGCTTGCATGCCCTAGAAAACAGAATGCATACAGTATCATAGGATGTCAAGGAAAACTAGGTGTTTGATAACTTTGGGTCAGAGGCCAGTGGCTGACAGTGACAGCCAACATTTAGTGCTGAGTTCAAATCTTTATCAGTTTAGAGTGAAGGCAAAGGTCATCAAATATCAGTCAATAAAGAGCTACAGGAGATTTAGATTAGATTAATCAGTAATCTCTTTAAAAAGGTTTATGACCAAGAAAGACACATATTAATAGGTGGCCTTTTCTTTCTGAACTGCTGCAGCATTCCTCATTACAGCCTCAGGTAAGCAGGATACAAACGAGGTTAAAAACAACTCCGTTAAGGAGAGCCTGGATACATTTGTAGGTTGTATAGGCTTATGAAGAAGAAGTAAAACATTTTTTTCCAATTTCCTTACAGGATGTTCAAGTTAGTGCTACTGCTCCTGGCACTGTCAGGTAAGATCTCACTGCCTTCACCTTTCACTGGTGCAGTAAAACTTGCCTATTTATTTGTGGCTAGATATTTGTTTCATATCATTACTGCTCACCTAATTTTCAGATGATGTGTTTCTGAGGCAAATGTTGTTGCCAAGTCGCAACAACAGTTGCCTCAGGTGCTTTATATTATAATGTTAAGACCCCGCAATAATAGAGAGAAACCCCAATAATTAAACAACCCCCTTTGAGTAAGCACTTCGTTATGGTGGGAAGGAAAAGCTCCCTTTTAACAGGGAGAAACCCCCTGCAGAACGAGGCTCATGTGGCGGCAGCAATTTTACGCAACCGCTTGGGGGTAACGGGAGAAAGACAGGACAAAAGAAGCACTGTGGAAGAGAGGCCGAGATTAATAATGACTAATGTTTAAATGCAGAACGCTTTCTTAAGCCTAATCTTCAACATAAAGAAGGTTACAGTCTCCCGAATCCTTGGAGCTAGCTCCACGGAAGAGGGGCCTATTTCTCTACATATCAGTTTATGATGAGTTCATGAAATAAGTGCAAAATACAGAACAGATTTTATCTTAGAATCATGCAATTCCGACACAGCAGATCTAGATATAAAAACATTTTGATATCCAAACTTCCATCCCTATATTTCAATTATCTTTAAAAACTAATACAATTATGTGAAACATCAGTAGGGTTCAGTCAATATATTAACTTTCCTGGCTGGTCAGTGTCAAATGTTTTATTTATTTTGAGGTGTCCTTGACATAATTAATGTTGGCTCTGTTGTTTCTTGCCTTGGCAGCAAAACAACTGACAGTAAACATTCTGTAGTTCCCTAATGGAAGTACAGAACGTAGACTTTGACCGTTATCATTGATTTATCACACTGTTAAAGAAAGGTCGTGGCCTATATATCAGCATTGCACAATAGTTAATAATTGACCTAAAAGGCCACACATTTATGTATCCATCAACTGGCAAGCTTAGTGCTATAATGTTAATCAAGTCGAACACCAGTGTCGAAGGCAGGGTGTGCAAATGCAGCTTCATGTATATTATAGTTATATAGTGTAACTGTAATCCTTTGCAGGCCTCCAAGCTGTCCCAATCAAAACCCCTAGAGGTTTGAAGAAGTCATCAAGTGATGTCCATCAATTCCTTCCTGATGGCTTTAGACAAGGTACAGAGCCTACTTTTACCTCCTACCTACATGATCCTACTGACACAGGCCAATTTGGCCAAGACTGAAATATCTCAACAACTTTTGGTTGGATTCAAATTACATTTTTCACATTTATTCACGTTCCCCAGTGAATGAATCCAAATGGTTAATGGTTAATGGTCATCCTCTATTAGGGCAGCCAGTAGCTGACATCTCAAGAACTAACATATTATCCTCTCAAATTTGGTAGAGCTAGCCCCCTCAGGATGATTTTTTTTATTGTAATGACTCTTTGCCTTTCTATTCAGTCCCAGGACATTGTTGAGGTTTAACTAAAAATAAATTGTTAGGTATTTTTTCATCATGAACAAAGAAATGAACATGATAACCTGTTTAACATGATTTTGATCACATTTAGCTTAGCGAATGTACCCTCTAAGTCACCTCTAGAGTATCGTTATGATTTTAGAAGCTTGTTTACTTCCAATGTCTTTTGTCTTTCAGCCGATGCTGATGTTCCGGTCCAAAGGAGTGGTGGTAGTTGGGTCCGTGTGGAAAATCCTTCTCATCTCCCAGATGGTTTCAGGCAGGGAACCGAACCCTCTATGAAAGTCAGAGATGGCTTCAGGCAGGGAACCGAACCCT